ATGGTTAGCATTTTTTAGCAATAAAGCATTTTAATTAAGGTATGTACATTATGCTTAGTCATAATGCTATTGCACGCTTAATAGACTACAGTATAATATAAATATAACTTGTTTGGCCAATGGGAAACCAAAACATTTATGTGACTCGCCTTATAGTGATATTGCTTTATTGCAGTGGTCTGGAACCAAACCCACAACATTTTTGAGGTACACCTGTACATGTCGTTGATTTGTTCCAGCAAAATATAGGTCAATAATAATTTGTCAAATGGATAGGCTGCCCAACTCTTAGTGACTCTGGGTGGTTTACAATGGTTAAAACCTTTTTAAAAACAGAGACAACCCCCCCCCAAAAATATCACAAGACAAAGGAACAATGATGACAAAGAAAATAAACCCAGAGAGCAGTATAGAGGAAGAAAGGAATATTAATTATCCTCTTCAAAGGTTGTGTTTTCTTTTAAACAGAAGCTAAAGACATTCACCGAACACTAGGGGACCAGACTCCCTTGTGACTTGTTCTAAAAATGAACTTTGTTTTTCTTTTAATTCTTGGGCTTTTTAAAAAAATAATACATCATTTTGTTTATTTTATTTACCATGTTTTCCCGAAAATAAGACCCTGTCTTATATTATTTTGAACCCCGAAATAAGCGCTTGGCCTTATTTTCAGGGAGGTCTTATTATTTTGGGGTGCGTGGAGCAAGATGGGGCTCCTCTTGCCATCTTACCTGATTTCCAGCTCTGTCTCCCTAACGCTAACCAGAGGAAATGGCGGGGACTGGCTGTGCATGCAGGGAGGGCTTATTTTCAGGGAGGGCTTATTTTCAGGGAGGGCTTATTTTATTGCATGCACTCAAAAGCCCGATTGGACTTATTATCAGGGGATGTCTTATTTTGGGGGGAAACAGTATTTATAGAAACATGATTTTCTTTTTGTATGCTACACTGGATGACTCCAGGGAGAGAATAACATTTAAAAAATGAAAATAATAATAATAGCATAAAATAGTTTATGACAGTGTCTTTGATTGGATGCCAGAATAAATTTTTAAAATAGATCTGGGGCAGATGCAACAGGGATGCAGATCAGTTCTGTATTTTTTCCTGTGCTCTGAAGCCTTTTGTTCTCAAGAGAAAGATTTCAGAAAGAATGAAACCAGGAGATATTTGCTTAGGTGAGTTCTTATATACAGGTAATCCTTGACCTGCAACCACAATTGAACCCAAAATCTCTTTTGCTAAGCGAAACATTGGTTAAGTGAATTTTGTCCTGCTTTACGCCCGTTCTTGCCACAGTTGTTAAGTGAATCCCTGCAGTTGCTAAGTTAGGAACATGGTTGTTAAGTGACTCAGGCTACCCTATTGACTTTTCTTGTAGGAAGGTCGCAAAAAAGGGATTGCATAACCCTGGCACACTGCAACCGTCATAAATACGAGTCAGTGACCAAGACTCTGAATTTGGATCACGTGACCATGGGGGTGGGTCAATGGTCGTAAGTGAAAAACGTCACTTTTTTTCAATGCCGTTTGTAACGTTGAACGGACACTAAATGAATTGTTGTAAGTCGAGGACTCCCTTTAGAAACTGTAGATTTAGAAGTCCCTCTAATGTTATTTAGAACTGCAGAACTGAAGAAAAAACCATTGCTACCAACCTGCCTTCCATTGAGGACTTGTATACTGCACGAGTCAAAAAGAGGACTGTGAAAATATCTACAGACCCCTCACATCCTGGACATAAATTGTTTTGACTTCTACCCTCAAAACGACACTATAGAGCTCTGCACACCAGAACAACAAGATACAAGGACAGTTTTTTCCCAAACGCCATCACTCTGCTAAAAAAATAATTCCTTCAACACTGTCAAATTAACTACTAAGGCCATATTACTATTCTTCTCATCCTTACTAGTACCTATCTCTTCCCACTTATGGCTATATCTATGTTGCTTGTATCTTTATGACTTATATTGTTTTTATTGTTTGCTAGTATGATCTGATTGCTTATTAGTATCCTATGACTATCACTAAGTGTTGTATCGTATGATTCTTGGCGAATATATTTTATTTTTTCTTTATGTACACTGAGCGCCTATGCACCAAAGACAAATTCCTTGTGTCTCCAATCACACTTGGCCAATAAAGAATTCTATTCTACTCTACTCTACCCTACCCTACCCTACCCTACCGTACTCTACTCTACTCTACTTTACTTCAGGGCTATTCACAGAAAACGTGGGTGGGTCCTTAGGCCTCCGTACGTGGAGATTTCTAGGTTTGCTATTCTGACGTGTGATCATCCAAATGGACCTTTTGTCTTTCCACTAGTTTTGCAGCCCAAGGTGTGGCTAGTTGTATTCGATTTCAGTGCTTCTATTCACATTGGGTAATAATTGTGCAAGCCTGTGGTGGAGAGAGGAAGCTTGTAAGGAAATCAACAGAGCCAGCGGGGAAAATCCTTCTCTTTACCTTCTCCCTTTAATCCGTAGCACATCCCGAGTGGAGATACAAGATCATGAGCCGTTCCTGGGTTGACTCATTCAACTTTCCATTGTTCTTTGGTTGCCCTTCACAGTTTTAATTCCAAACTGCAACCTTTTGGGGAGGGAAGATTTTGCGCTAAAGCAATAGCTGAAGCAAGTTGTAAAATGTTGCACAACAGGTTTCCTGGCTTTTAAGCACGATCATAACTTAGGGAAGGGGCAGGCTAAGATCTTGAAATAGCAACCTTGGCTTTTCTTTATAGGAATGAAATGTGTGTTTCAGGAACTTCTGGATCTAATCTCACAAACTTAAAAAGGAAAACGACCTGCTTTAAATTAGCCTGTGGATTTTTTTTTATTTTTTTTTGGAAAAACGTACTATATTTGGAACCCAAGGAAAAGTGCAACAAAGCCTTTTTGGTCATTTAAAGCAGCCATGTCGTCTCCCAAGCTCACCGGAAGAAAACACGTGTCAGACTTCGATGCTATCTCAAAATAAATGAATTTCCAAACTGCCAATCTTTAAGGAAATCTTTTCTTTATTCGAGCACAGCAACCGGATCATGACTCGATGCGGGCAAGACTGACCTTTTGCCCTCCAATCCCTCCCTTTCCGATCCCCAATTATCTGCTTCTCATTGGCTATCTTCCAAGTCACTCTCCTGACTTCTTGTCTCGTCATTTCACAGGAATGTCCCCCCTCCCTTCATTTCCACGGTGACCGAGCTTCAAAGGGATTTAGCAGGCAAAAGTTCAGGGCTTGTCTTGTAATTGCAATTGTACAATCTTCCTTTCTATGTCAGTGGTGAAATGCTGACAACATGGCTGCTTTAGCCATTTGAAGAAAATTGCTATAAAAAGTGTTTCAAAGACCTCTTTTGGACTTGCACAGCCTTAGTCAACAGGAGACTATTTTCTGGGTGTTATTCTTTATAGTGGAAGAGATGACATAGTTTGCAGTCAATCTGAGTAGCTTGGCTTGCCTTAACTGGCATGTAGTTTCGACTCTGTCCTTAAGAGCACTGAAAAACCTAGGACAGGGGTGTCAAACTCGCGATGTCGTAGTGTTGTCACGTGACGTATCAGGACTTTTTTCCCCCTTTCGCTAAAGCGGGCATGGGCGTGGCCAGCTTGTGACACATCCGACGCATAACCTAGGGCAGTGATGGCTAACCTTTTTGTCATTGTGTGCCGAAAGTGTGTGCACGTGACAGCACGCACTTGTGCCTGCACCCACAATGCAATGCGTGTATGACCCCCCCACACACACACACAACCTCCCACGCATGCGCACGTGACATCCCCCTCGCCCTGTTTTCAGCCTAGCAGGCCTCCTTGCAGCCTTTTGGGTCCCAGGAGGCTGCAGGGAGGCCTGCCAGGCCCAAAATGGGCCGTGGGGTGTGTGTGTGGCAACCCCTCCCCGGGGGCCCGTTTTTGGTCCAAGGGGGCTGCAGGGGGGCCTGCTAGGCCCAAAATGGGCTGTGGGGGGGGGGGCGACCGCCACGCTCCATCTCCACGCATGTGCATGCAGGTCCCGCCATGCGTGCGTGTCTCCCACATGCCCTTGCACATGTGAGGCAGAGACCTGAAAATCAGCTGGACAGCAGGAGGCGCACACGCATGCAGGGTGGAGCTGAGCTGGGCGACGGCTTGCGTGGCGGCAGAGAGGGCGTGCCATAGGTTCACCTTCACGGACCTAGGAGATAAATTGGACTAAAAGATAAGTCTCTTTTAGCAGTGATAGGGACTCCATGCTCTGTGTCTTACAAACCCAACGCATTTCACACGGTTGTCGTTATGGGGAAAATAGGAGGAGGAATATATTTATCACATTTGAGTTGTTTATAAAAATCATACAGGTGGGGTATAGATAACATAAATAGAACTACAATTGTATTGGGTTTGATAAGGGCTTTTGATAACATCTTCCGCAATTTGAGCATTACTTTCTTCCTCATCATGCTGCAAACATTAATATTTTGCCTCAAACTTCAAGACAGTGGCACCTTGGTACTCCACTGCTTTGAAACACATCAAATTTAGTACTTAATGCATTTTGACCCAAAATTTTTGTCTCAGTACTGATCGTTTGTTTGGTACTCAACGCACAAGCTACAACTTGTCGGTGTCAGCCTCCTTGTGACTCATTACATTATTCCTTATGAGAAAAAATTATTCGGTGCTCATCGTTTTGGGTATTTATCATACTTCCCAGAACCAATAACAATAAGTACCGAAGTACCACTGTATATTATTTTGGGGGGGAGGCATAAATGATGGGGTGAATCCAGCCATTGGAGCTTATATCTTAACCATGTGCAAACCTCATCAGTTTGCCAAACTATACAAGGTATGAACCCACTCCCTGCTCTCTTGAAATTCTTAAGATATCTCTTCTGAAGTGTGATTCAAGGGTTGAGTCTCTAACCAAGCTTTCAAAAGAACTGAAGTTTGCCTCTGTCTCTGGAAAACATCATTAACATGTCACTTTCCCCCCCCCTCAATTTCTCATAGATATTCTCCATTTTTGCCTTCGCTACCTGTGGTGGATACAGTGGGAAGACATCTATACTGCTCACCTGTAAAAGTAAGGAAAATGTCACCTGGAGCCAGGATTTCTTCTATCCTTTCAGGTGAGAGCATGCCGCTTTTTAAAATCCAGTTGCTTGTTCTTCGGTGTATCTGCCTGTGATCAAGAAAAATGATTGTGGAAGATGACAGTTAGTTTTAAAGATAACAACATGGAGATAGAGCTGGTCTTCGGCCAGTCCTGCCCTTTCCCACAATCTGCCTTCTGTGGTTGCTGTTCGGGAAAAATTGGAGGTTTGGTTAAGCCATCTGGAGTTCCTGGTGGAAAGACAGGATCTGAATCAGATAAATGAGCGCATAAATATTTTTGTTGGAGAGGTTACAGTAATCAGGAGACACATGGTTACAATATCCTGTGGCAGCTGAATACTTGGAAATAATTCTCAAAATCAGTTGCACAACCCCCCCAAAAATAAGTGTAACTTTCATCATCCATTTTCAAACACTTTTTAGCAAATGCCACTTTTTCCTCGTGGCATTTGGCATATGGAAAGCATTTGGTATCGGGGGGGGGGGGAATTGCTTCCAATCTTTTTGATCCCAGGTGGCTGAGTACTATGCAGAGAGTCCTCACTTACCAACTACTTGTTCAGCGATCACTCAAAGTTGTGACAGTGCTGAACAAGAGGGCCTTAACAACCGGTCTTCAAAGTTTTGGCCGTCACACCATCCCCATTATTTGGGCACTTAAACAACGGTTGCGGTACATTACAATCACAGGATCGCCTTTAATCCCTTCCCTGCCATCTTCCCATAAGCAAAGTCAATGGGGAAGCCAGGAAGTCACAAGCCACTTTGATAAGACCCCAAACTTTGCTGCATTTGTGTAGTGTTATGCCATCCATTTCCCTGGGCTCCCTGCACTCACATGGCATGATGCCATTTATTTCCCTGGCCTCACTGTGGTCAAACGGTATTGTAGCACCATCCTTTCCCCTGGCCTCCTCCAGTTTGCAAGTGGCCTGTGCAAGCCTCCCACCCACCCCTGTAGCACCCCCTCCCCAACGGCCGGTGGATGCTCCTTACCTGGGACTCCCATCATTTCCTGCTTAATGAGCTGCATATCTTGGGATTACGATGGCAACCAGGATTGTCATGGCTAAGCGATGCATTCACATGATGTGGTGCTTTCTGACAGCATTTCTTAGTGACGGCAATCCTGGTCCCAACTGCTGTTGTAACCTGAGGACTATCTGTGTCCTGCCCAAGTATTTTCAGATTTAAATATAAAATCTTCTGCATAAAAACACACCTGATCTGAAAACACTTAAAGAAACTTGGATCAGTACAAAAAATTGCTGGAGACAAAGAAGCTTCCCTCTTTGTGGGAATATATTCTGGTAGAAAAAGGTGGACATTCCCAGCGAATCAAAATTATGTTGAAATTATGACACACCCATTACTTTGCAAGTCCTGCTCTTGTATACTCACTTTTGTATCTCTGAGGTAAGTACCGGTATGTAAGTTGCAACCAGAATTTTTCCTTTTGGGACTAATGGAAAAAGAAGTGGAGAAAAAAATTGGAGCTTTGTTACTATATATGTTGACAGCAGTAAGACCTATTGTATGCACAAAAATGGGAGGACACTTTGATACCTACCATGGACGAATGATTGCAGAAGTTGGTGGAGTTGGTGGAATGGCTAAACTGACCACTTTGATTAAGTACTTTTGTTTCCACATGGAAACCATTTCTGAAATTTCGTGCTTGATGTGGAAAAGAATGTACTTTTGACTTTGGGTTTTATAGATTAGATTGATAGATCTTTATAGAAATGGCTTGTTCATGTTATTATGGAAAAACAAAAAGCTGTGATTTGATGCTAATGCCTTATTTTACTGCAACAGGGGGAGTCGGAGGTCAGTGCTTCTTTTTCTTTTCTTTTCCCTACCTTTCCTTGCTTCTCTTCCCCCTTTCCCTTCCCTCCTCGTTGTTCTTTTATTTACTTTTGTATTTTGTATTTTATAATACTTAATTAAAAAAAATGTTTGAAATAAATTGCAATATTTTTGCATGGGCAAAGACATGTAAGTGTCAGCTTTTTCTTCTTGTCACCAGGTTGAACAAAATTTCCTTTGGACCTCTGGGCTCAGGAGTAAATTGCAACAATACTTGGCCCAAGCCCAGCTACTTGGTGGGAGATTTCTCCTCCTCAGCGGAGTTCTTTGTCACTTTTGCAGTTCTGGTGTTCCTGTACTGCATTGCAGCCTTAATTCTGTACCTCGGTTACATGCACTTGTATCGAGGTGCTGGAAAACTCCCCATGATTGTAAGTCAACATGATTTGGCTTTTTACATTGTTTTTCTGTTATTTATAGCATTGGCTGGGGGGGGTATAGCAATAGCACTTAGACTTATATACCACTTTACAGTGCTTTTACAGCCCTCTCTAAGCGGTTTACAGAGTCAGCCTATGGCCCCCAACAATCTGGGTCCTCATTTGACCCACCTCGGAAGGATGGAAGGCTGAGTCAACCTTGAGCCTGGTGAGATTCGAACTGTCAAATTACAGGCAGCCGGCAGTTAGCAGAAGTAGCCTGCAGTACTGCCCTCTAACCACTGCACCACTGTGGCTCTGGTGTGCATATTTCATGGATGGAAAAAAACCCCATGACTCGTTTATCCCTAAGATTAATTTATTGAGCGTATAGTTTTGTTTTGTTTTTACTAATAAAGGAGAATATTTGTAGCTCAGGGTTGACATAAGGGTCAGGATCCTTGGTGACCTCTGAGTTTGCTTGTTTTCTTGCAGAGGTTTCATTACCCAAACTAGGTAACTGTTTTATTTTTATTTATTTATTTTTAATTTATATCCCAAATTATTTATTTTTATGAACAGTCAAGGCATACATAATACTCCCTTCTCCTATTTTTCCCCACAAGAATCCTGTGAGGTTTATTGGACTGAGACAGAGGGACTGGCCCCAAATCACCCAGCTGGCTTTCTTGCTTAAGGCGGGATTAGTCTCCCTTCTTTTTGTCAACAAGCTTTCAAAAGCAAACAAGGCTTCTGCCCAGTAGTGAAATCCACATTTTTTTTACTGCTGGTTCTGTGGGCATGGTTTGGTGGGCGTGGTGTGGTTTGGTGGGCGTGGCAGGGAAGGATACTGCAAAATCTCCATTCCCTCCCTACTTCTGGGGAAAGGATACTGCAAATCTCCATTCCCCCCCCCCACACTCCTGGGGGAAGGATATTGCAAAATCTCCATTTCCACCCCACTCTGGGACACAGCCACAGGTGGTATTTGCCGGTTCTCCGAACTAATAAAAATTTCCACTACCGGTTCTCCAGAACCTGCCGGATTTCACCCCGCTTCTGCCCTTTGTTGCTGGAAAGGTGGGGTAATTAAAGTGAACATATGGTTATTTAACTGAGGCTGCTTTATTAATCTTGAGCAGTCCAAGGATTTATCATAACTGGGGCTTTCGTCATTCATTTACCCCCCACTGAATCGCATGTCTCTTTTTAAAAGCCTGTTTTTAAAAGTACATTTTAAAAGCCATTATTCTAATGATATTTCTCCAGTGCGAATATACACTGCTCAAAAAAATAAAGGGAACACAAGCAGAAGACATCCGAGATCTGAATGAATGAAATAGCCTTATTAAATACTTTGTTCGTTACATACAGTAGTTTTGTGTTCCCTTTAGTTGTTTGAGCAGTGTATAAACTACTGTATGTAAAGAACAAAGTATTTAATAAGGCTATTTCATTCATTCAGATCTCGGATGTCTTCTGCTTGTGTTCCCTTTATTTTTTTGAGCAGTATATTTCCCTCTATTAGAAGATAAATGTTATAGGGAACACAGTTATTTTGAATAAAAGCAAGAAGAGTGTCAGGTACAAGCAACCAGAGCCACTTGTAAATAGCTAGTCAGCAACTTTATTGCCTGTTGCCTATGTTACAAGAATCTCACCAGACTGCTTGCCTTCCACTGGGAATGAGCAGGTAAGGCTTCATGGATCTTGGAGCAGGTCAAACTTACGCTGCTTATTGCTGTGCAAGGACTCCAAGCTAGGGCCTTGCTTTACCCCTCCTTCCAGCATAACTGGCAATTCCCCAATAAAAGATATTTTTTTTAAGCCCTAAGATTCACTTGCTCACTCTTGGTGAATTTTGTAAAAACCTAGCTTTCCTCTTATCTCTGTCCCTTGCTCTATGCCTTTTGTGAGTGTGCCTAGGCTCTATGCCCAGGCAGCTGGGTGCAATGGAACAGTTAACTCTGATGCTAAGAACAGATCCTGCATCCTTCAGAGAAATATCTAACCATAATAGTAAATCTTTCTTCCTCTTTCTCTTGCCGCCGGATTCCAGGAACTGTGGTGAGTGGCATTTTTTTCTGTAGATCAAAAATGCATCCTGATCAACAAGGCAGCGCCTGCGATAGATGTTTGCTAGCACGCCCACCCGCTCAAATTTTGCATTCAGAAAGTTTGGGCCATTCTTTGGTCAATAAGTTTTTGATGGATCCCAGAGTTATGACGTGGTAAATGTTAGTCCTTGAAATGGTAGAATCGATCTACTTGATCTTTTTTTTTTTTCCTGAAGCCTCTTATCTTTCCTCCTTCTCCAGGACTTCATCTTTACAGTCATCATTGCTTTCCTGTGGTTGGTCAGCACATCGGCCTGGGCGAAGGCACTTGTCGATATCAAAGCATCCACCGGCCCCAGCATAGTTACGGGAAATGAGTATTGTACTTCACAGCCTGGGCTTTGCCATTTCAATGAAATCAGGAGGATGGGATCCTTGAATGTGTCTGTGGTACGTAGGCAATGGGGTACAGGGGGGAAGGAACGGGGAATGGGCAGGGCTGCCATTGATATGAGGTTGCCAAAGATTCTTGGTCAGTCTCTGTTGGAGATAGAATACTAGGCTAATAATGCAGCTGAAACCCTAACCCTAACCAGAGGTGGGCTGCTGGGGGTTCGCAGGGGTTCGGGAGAACCTCTAGCTAAGTTTCTGTGCAGTTCAGAGAACCCCCAAATCTCACTCCTGGCTGGCCCCGCCCACTCCTCCCCTCCCAGGAGTCCCCACATGGCCCGTTTTGGATGCAGGTAAGTGCAGAGTGCATGCAGAGCCTCGGGGAAGGCAAAAAACAGGCCTACCGGAAGTTCAGGAAGGTCAGAAACGGGCCCGTTTCCGGCCTCCAAAGGGCCTCCGGAGCCTGGGGAGGCCATTTTCACCCTCATGGGCTTGAAGAAAGTCTCCAGAGCCCGGGGAGGGCAAAAACACGCCCCCCCACTATGGTGCAGGAGGCCGACATGGCCACGCCCACCCAGCAACCGGGCAGAGAACCCCTTGCTAAAATTTTTGAAGCCCACCCCTGACCCTAACCCTAGCTGAAACTAGCAGTAGGGTTGAAGTTAAACACGAATTTAGGAACCTTATCTTATTTTGACTTTTCCTTAATTCTGACCTCCTGTTTTTCATGTTTTTCACTTTCTTGACCATCACATATATCTCCTAAGCAGCTGCTGCTGGGAAAGGAACAGAGAGCAGAATTCTGAATTCAGAAAGGGCGGGGGGGTGTTCTTTGAATGGGTGAGGGGGCTTGGGAAGTGGGCAAAGGGTGCTTCCAGGTACCAGGTTATTCAGGTTGCCCAGGCGGCTCTAGCTAAACCATCAGAAATAAGAGTTCTCTGTATTTATTTAGGAACATGCCTCTCTGAGGTGTGTTTTGTACTAGAGCGTGTTTGGGCATGCTTGAAATTTGAATTCATACACAACTCTTTAGGACATGGTGAGGAATATGAAAATTGGATGGGTTCCATAGGCACAACTTGGAAAACTTTTGGGTTCTAAAAGTTTTAGAAGTTTATTGTTTTGGAAAGGTGGCGTGAGTTTTGTAGGAAGCACTCTACAAGCAGTCTTCAACTTGTGACCGGTCACTTAGTAACCATTGAAAAGTTATGATTGACACCCCCTCCCCAAAAAGGTACTTATTCCCCAGTTTTGAAGTTCCAATGGCTGCTCTGCCCCCTGCAGGCCAGTAATTGCATTTCAGGCACTCGGCAAACTGGCTTCCCATTTATGGCTATTTGCAGTCCTTGAGTCACGTGACTGCAATTGGTGACATTTTTACTGAAAACTGGCATTTACTTCCAGTTTCTGGCAAAAACGCCCCACGGCGAACATTGGGTTTAACTTAACACCCATAGTGTTCATTAATGTTTGGTATCACTTGTTTCAGTTGTTATAACTTTGAACAGTCAACTAAACAAACTGTTGTAAGTGGAGGACTACCGGTATTTTTATATTGGTGTTTTTCAGACTTGGCAATTTTAAAGGTGTGAGTGCTGGAGGATTCTGGGAGTTGAAGTCCTTGCATCTTAATATTGCCAAATTTGAAAAATATTGTTTTAGAACATCGATGCAGTATCTATTGTGGTCCCAAGAAGTACAACTTTAAAAATATACAGGTAGTTCTTTTGACTTACTTAGCTTTTGTCGCTAAGTAATGTGGGTCGAGTCACAATTTTATGAGCTTTTTACCATGGTCGTTAGCAAATGACCTGGTCGTTAAATTCCACCTTCCATTCTCACCAGGAGCAGCCTCTGTTCCCACGGGAAAGAAAGTCACCTAGCCAAAACAATCCTCACTATCTATTTGCTCCTTCCCCCCACCTTAAGAATGTGGCGAGCCCGGAAACCCCCCCACCCCCCACTACATAGTAAAGAGAAAGAAAAGGAATGAATGAGTATACTAGAGAGCTAAATAAATTGGCTACACAAATGTCAAATTCGGGCTCGTCATAGAGCCCTTTGGAGTTGGAAAAGAAATCTAGGATGTGTTTATTTGTTAAAATCAGGAATATTTCAGGGGAAAAATGGTAGGCCAATTTCTCAGGAAGGTGGCCATGATGAAATGCCGAAATGCTGAAGCAGATAACATTCATCACAACGTTTTGTAACTGGAGACACATTTTCTTTGGCACGGATGCCAGCAGCTCCTGCAAAGACCCAGGAGGGCCATACTGTCAAAATGTCATGCAAATAAAGGGAGCCAATTTTATTTTTAGGAAGAGCATATTCTGAGCCTTTCCATTTTGATTGCTAGCTGCTTTCCATGGGTTGAGCCTGTGGCAAGGTGAGGGCGTATCTTACTTTCATTTCCTGATGTGAAAACAGCTGGCAAACACGCCATGTGTTTTTAACCATCTATTACTCAAATATCGGTCATGCAGTTCTGGGGGAATTAAGATGCCTCATTGGGGTGCTTCTGGGACCTTGTGCAAACTATGATTTGCTCACCCCCTGGAAATACACGGGCAGTTATTACAGAAAGTGGGTCATTCCATGTCAAGTGGTCTGGGGGTTCCCTGCTTGATCATCACGGATTTCGATGAAATTTGGTGTGAACATGCACACACATCCCCCAATGAACATTGATAAAGTGTTACGTGTGCCAATGCAGTACTTACGGAGATATAGTTATTTCCCATACTGCAGCCTTCTACAGTAGGACTCTGAGGTTCCAGCAATTTTGAGACATAATATCTCAAAGCCTTGGTGGCGCAGCAGACTAAAGCACTGTTAAATAACACCAGCTGCCTGCAATTACTGCAAGTTCAAATCTCACCAGGCTCAAGGTTGACTCAGCCTTCCATCCTTTCGAGGTAGATAAAATGAGGACCCGGTTTGTGGGGGCAATAAGCTGACTTTGTATAAAAAAGAACACCACTGGGGGGGCCCCGAAAGTCCTACTAAGCAGGTATATACAAAAGTATGAAGGCTATTGCTTAATGCATTGTAAGCCGCCCTGAGTCTCTGGAAAAGGGCGCATATAAATTGAACCAATAAATATCTATCTATCTATCTATCTATCTATCTATCTATCTATCTATCTATCTATCTATCTATCTATCTATCTATCTATCTATCTCCGGCAATATTTTGTTGAGAGAAACAAAACTTGGCCATCATTAAAACTTTTTGTGCTTCCATTTGAAATGAACTGGGCTGCTTAGGCCTAAAAATCTTTTACCTTTCCTGCTTTCTGTTTCCTCTTAGGTCGTTGGCTTCCTCAACCTGATTCTGTGGGCCGGCAGCGCTTGGTTTGTCTACAAGGAAACCCACCTACATAGTCCTCCCTCCAGCGCTTCTCCGAACGCAACCAGTTCCCAGTCTCCTTCAGGGATGTGAAGGGCCTGAAAAGGCCTTGGATATGGAAAAGCACCTCTCACCTCAGGATGATCCTCACGGCTGTCCCCTCCCCTCCCCTCCTCCATTGTGTAATTGATGTGTGAAAAATCGATGGGTTTCATGTTTTCGCTCCCACGCCGGGGCCAGAACCAAAAGTGACACCATACACGAGAGAACCATTACGCTGCACAAAAGCTTGTTCTCTGCATTGGAAAAAAGAAGGTTTCGTGTCTCAGGTTCGAAGGCTCCCCCACCCCCATGTTAATAATAAAAAGTTGAGCGAGCAGCATTTCAATTGATTGAAGGCAGCTTGTCTTGTGTGTGATTAGAGTTGAGTTGTCCCACTCGGGTTATGAAGTGCCACCTCTTTTATCAGTGTATGCTTCCTTAGAAGGACGTCCCCCCTGAATTCAGTGGGGCTGACTGTCAAGTAAGCATGCTTAGGATCTCCCCTCTGGATTCCCCCAGAAGGGAGTTGCATTTAAAGTGTCCAGTTTTATACAGATCTTGCCTTTCTGTGACTGCTGTCCAGAATGCATAAAATGCCTGGGCTTTGCAGTCAGTTTACGTGGAACTCTAAATAACTCTTAACCTTCACATTTGTCTCTCTTGAAAATTCTTTTAAAACTAGAAAAGGTAGAATGCTAGTAGTTGGTTTCCCTGCCCCCTCCCTCCCCCCCAGTCTCACCTGCAAAGACTTGGCTAACATGGCACAACTTGAAGCTCCACAGCCACCTGCATCCCCTCCCTCCCTCCCTTGGTGCAACAGTTCTAAAAGAGGCCACTTAAATTGTAATCCTGAATGTTGTTGAATATTGTGAGACCCACAGGCAGTAATCTTCCAGATTGTATTTAATTAGCTTTTTAATGACACTTGAATTCAGATTAGGTTTTAGCTTGGCCTGGACTTCTCTGCTTCTTTTCACAAGCTGGAAGGGGGTCTCCTCAAATGTCACTCACTGGCTTAGCGTGATTCGAAAATAACGGTGCAACCTTAACGCAGGAAGGCAGTTAATTCTGCTGATGAATTCAGGGAACCTGCAGGAAAGGTGATATCTGGTCCCGGCTCCCAATTTGTTGAAAGGAACCCTAAACAAAGAGTTTAATTTCTAGTCCTTCTGGCAGTCAAGACATCCTGTAGAATAGGGATCAGCATCACTCAAGGCTGTGAATTTATGCTTCTTCCTCTTAAAATATGTTCAATCCAACCCAAAGCAAAATCTGTATGCCAAAGAATTCAGGGCTTTATGTAAACTGTACAGAAGCATGAAAAAAAAAATATCATACCACAAAGGAGTTTGCAATTGCTTATTTTCTGTCAAGCGCCAGGAAATTCAGGAGATCCAGACAGTTCAAATGGGTATAAAGTTTTACTGTAAGCTTGAGCTCATTACAAGAATCTGAACTACTAAGGACCAAGGGAAATTAGCGGGAGATAAGAATAGAAGGAATTCAAGTTGGGCTGGACTTAGATCTCTTGTGGGCACGAAAGGGCTCGAGACTGATGACGTGTTTGACCCCTCCCTCAGGCTCAGCCTGGCCATCTCCTACATTTTCTGGGTAAATGTACATTTTGTGATTGCAGAATTTGGTGTTGGGTTTGGGGCTGGTGGTTTTTCTGACATAATTTTCCAGAGATCTTGGTTTCAAAACTCTCATCCAAATATTTGGTCTTAATTTTCCTTTTAAAATTGGCTAGAAGTTGAGGTTCTGTTTGTCACGATGTCAAATACCAGAAACAGAGAAGGCAGGATCTCTGGAAGTGAAAATGTATCTTGCATGGTTTTTATTTTTTATTCTAACTATCGATAGGAGAGAATATTTGTAGTTCAAGGTTGAATTGTAAGAGTCCTTGGTGCTCTCTCAGCATGATGTTGTTCTTGTAAACGTTTCATTGCCACACTAGGTAATCTTATCAATGCATTTATGCTAATTTTTATCATTGCCGTGTAGGAATTTGCCCCATTCACTGCTCTTCTGTTGCCTTGGTTGTTGTCTTTACTACCAACTTGCTTTTGCCAAGGTATGTGGTTGTGGAAATCCACAAAAGTTTCCAATTGCAAACTTACGTAAAGGACACGTATGTGTTCTTTGGATTGATTCTTAAAGTAATGGACAATGCGATCAGCCACGTATCAATTTTTCCTCTTGATTCCTATTCATGCCTAGATCTTAGGGTGCTTGTATGAGTTTTCCCCTTTTAATATAATTTGCATTTACTTCCTTCATGGCCTTTATTGGATTTACAGTTGTTTTCATAGTAAGATGTTGCAATTAAACCTTCAATTTTTATATTTTGTTAGGAACAGCACCTAATCTCCCCACCCCCCAACAGTCTATACCAGTGGTTCCCAACTTTTTGGGGGGCCATGTCCCACCTAAGCATCTCTAACATCCCGATGCCCCCTCCCCCCGTGACATATAATTCTTACTTTACTCAAAAAATGAACTCTACTCACGCGGAGGAAGCCTAAAAGGCCATTAATTTGGTTTAAACAAGGTTCAAATTGCCTCCCATTAAAAATCAAATCAACTCCCTGTTGTTTTGTTTTTTTTAATTTGATTTATATGCCGTCCTTCTCCGGAGACTCAGGGCGGCTTACAATGTGCTCAGCAATAGCCTTCATCCTTTTGTATATTTATACAAAGTCAGCTTATTGCCCCCACAACTGGGTCCTCAATTTACCTACCTTAGAAAGGATGGAAGGCTGAGTCAACTTTGAGCCTTGGCGAGATTCGAACTTAACAGTAATTGCAGACAGCTGGTGTTAATCACAATGCTATCAGTCTGCTGAGCCACCAGGCCCTAGAGTTCTGGACCTCTTTTAGAAGTCAGACCTTATTACAAGTAGTCCTCACTTAGTGACCACAATGGAGGTCATTGCCAGCCTTCCTGGTAAAACAGACAAGGAAACATAACCAGGAGAGCGAATTCTACTTTATTATAAGGCTCCGTTAACAGAATCTTGCAAGTCTGAAAGGACAACTCGCCCGCCGTCTCTTTTACAGCTTGAGAAGTTAAGAAGGATCCTTTCTGAGTTTCTTTCTCTGCCCGTTATGCAGCTGAGGGCTGTACCCTCTTTTATCTGGTGGTTCTCAAGGCTGCATCTCTCTCCAGCCCATCCCCTCTCCCAAAGTCATTCCCACTTGCCATTACATTTGCTAAGCGAAACATCATGTGACTGCAATGGGCTTACAGTGTCGCTTTCTGTTCAGTGGTTAAGCGAAACATGATATGATGAACAACTTGCAATTTTACTGCTGGTTTCTGCTTATTGGAAGCCAGCAGTGAAATGTGCAGGTGACTGTGGGAAATTGCAGCAGTTGTAGATTCAAGGACTGGTGTAAAGTGACTTTTTCAGTGCCGCTGAAACTTCAAAAGGCCTCTAAACAGGACAGTCATTAAGTGAGATCTGCCTGTAAGTAATCTTCAAAAGGTCTCTAAACAGGACAGTCATTAAGTAAGATATACATGTAAGTAATCTTCCCTGACCCATCCTATGTTTTCCTGGATATCTGCAATTCTTTCTTTGGCCAGTTGGTGGTGCTAAAGGAAGTGGACGTTGACAACATTGTTGGTCGTGACCATCCTAGCTGTGAAAACTGACCTCTTCGCACACAAATCCCTGACCAACATTGAATGAAACTTCTTGAGGGTTGGGTGAAAGTATCCCAAAGAGACCAGAGGTGGGTTTCAGATATTGTTACCACCAGTTCGCTCACACACGCAACTTCTGCACATGCGCCCAGCCTCGAAAACGTGGCTAAATAGGATGACATAGAAACAGGGGCAGGTGGGCGTGGCCACCCGTGATCTCTGCTGCTGGTTCGGGTGAACCGGTCTGAACCGGCTGAATACCACCTCTGAAAGAGACCCTTTGGCCTAAATTTGGAAGGCAAATACCAATGGGTGGGTGAAATTGCATCTCCTATTACATTGCAGACGTGAGGGGACGTTTAGAATCTTGGTCTACTCTAGGACAATGTCTCTCAACCTTGGCAACTTCAAGATGAATGGACTTCAACTCCTAGCTGAGGAATTCAGGGAACTGAAGTCCACACATCATAAAAAGTTGCTAAGGTTGAGAGAATCACTGATTTAGGATGTCGGGTTGACTTTCCTTTCCATAATTCCCCTAGGAGTCATCCCGGTGCAGCACTTTTCAGGGGCAGGATTATGGGAATGTCAAAATTATAACTGGCTTGTCCTCTTTTTCAGCTAATTCCATTTTCTGCTCTTATTTGTTAAAATACCTTGCAGTTTTTCTACCACCAAACGGAAATGACAAAAACAAAAAAAAAAGTGCTAGTTACAACTCAGTGTATAGAGCAAAAGCTAACTACGAGAAAGACCCTCCATCTAGATTCAGGTCTTGTACAGGCAGTTCAGACACTGGATGCAATTAAAATCCCATTTAGCTGTGCAGATTTGCTGCTGCTTTCCTTTGAAATGCTGAAAGCAAGAATATTTGGAAGGAAAATAATGCTTCAATAAAATAGAGCTTTCTCTACTGTATATTTTAATCACTTGATAAGCAGAGCCCTCTCCAAAATCCCTGTAAGTAACACAAATAAAAGCTCATTTTACGGTATTGGCCAAAATTGTGGAAACTTTTTGGAAAAAGTGTATTTTCTAAAACTAGCTAATAATGCATATATGTAGAGAGAGAGAAAGAGGGAGAGAGAGAGTAATAGCATAAAATTATATATCAATGGAAAGATAATTTAATCAAGAATGTAATGCAATAACTTTTATGAAGGATTTGCTATTAGAATAGCAGTTACAGTATAAAGAAGAAAAGTGAAACACGTAGAAAAAACGAGGTATACAAAAATTATCACATCAGTTAATACTTAGTTGGGTAACCTTTAGCATGAATTACGGCCTTACAACATCTTCCCATGGAGTGAACCAAGTCTTTTGAGTTCTGCAGCTGTTATAATGTAAAACCAAGATGGAATGATGGCTTCTATTAACTGGGTTTTATTGCTGGGTCGCTTCTGACTAACAAGTTTCTTTAGTTGGTTCCATAGATTTTCAATTAGGTTAAGGTCCGGGCTATTCCCAGGCCATTCCAGCAGTGGAATAGGATTATCTTAAAACTCCAAAAAAAAAAAAAAAAAAAAAAAAAGTGGTGTTATTAACCATCAAACCTCAAAAATACATTTTTCCCAAAAGGTTTCCACAATTTTGGCCACTACTGTATATGTTTTCCCTTCCCTGTATATAAAGCTGTCTGCCCTATTCATTCATTTGCAGGGAATTCCATGTTTTGCAACTATGGCCTTATATTCCTGATCAGCTTGAACACATTTGGAATTGCAGTTGATGTGCCAATATATGCCTTTTGCATCTTGTTATATTGGAGACAGAGGCCAAATGCTTTGTTACATATATATATATATATATATATTAAAGAAGTTCATGTACACCTTGAGAGTTTCCCGCCGTCTCATCCAAATTATTTGGAAAATGTATGTGTGTCTGTGCACAACTGGTTTAATAAACATACTTTGCTCACTGATCAAACGTCTTCAGTTGCTCTTGCTTTCTAGTTCAAAGAATTGGCACAATTTGGTTTTAACATTTCTCTTTCATCGCACTTCTGTGCCCTTTTTTCATCTGCCAGTTATCTGATTTTGTTTGAAAGCAGATAAGGAAGTGCTTGTTGCTAAAGTATCTGAACACAAAAAATGCATTAAAGAAAAATGGGGGGGGGAATGGTGATATGTTTGATAGCGTGTAGGCAAGGTTTAAATGTAAACCTGAAGCCAAAGAGGGTAGAAGGGGGGGGGAAGGATTTGATTCATGTGTAGGTCTATGAATAGCAGAGACGGGGAAATATATGTGAACATTTCTATAATTATCTTTAGTTGGCTTGCCTAGAAGAGAGAACTGAACAGGGGCCAAAGTAACCCCCAAGTTGTGTTTTTTTTTTTTTTTATTTGATTTATATGCCGCCCTTCTCCGGAGACTCAGGGCAGCTTACAATGCATTAAACAATAGCCTTCATTCTTTTGTATATTTTATACAAAGTCAGCTTATTGCCCCCACAAACTGGGTCCTCATTTCACCTACCTTAGAAAGGATGGAAGGCTGAGTCAACCTTGAGCCTTGGAGAGATTCAAACCAGCAGAAATTGCAGGCAGCTGTGTTAATAACAGGGTGCACTAAACCACTGTACTATCAAAGTTAAGAATGATCTGGACCATAGAGCTTCCTCACTCAGTGCATAACCCAGTTGTTCAGTGAATCTGGATCCCCCATGGATTTTGTTTGTCAGAAGGTCACAAGAGAGCTTCGCATGACCCCGGGACACTGCAACCGTCATAAATGTGACTCAGTTGCCAAGCGTCTGAATTTTGATCACATGGATCATGGGGCCATTGCACATGAGTCCTTTTTTCAGTGCGGTTGTAACTTTGAACGGTCCCTAAAGGAACTGTTGTAAGTCAAGGACCACTTGTATTCCTGCTTAATTTTTCCCGCTCTGCCCCCCGTTCCCCAAAATCATTTGCTCCTTGACCAAGACAAGGGGATGTTATACTACAGTCCAGTGATGGGTTTCAGTTGTTTTTACTACAGGTTCTGTGGGCATGGCTTGGTGGGCGTGGTAGGGGAAGGATACTGTAAAATCTCCATTCCCACCCCACTCCAGGAGAAGGATCCATTTCCTCCTGATCAGCTGGGACTTGGGAGGCAGAGAATAGATGGGGCCGGGGCCAGTCAGAATTTTTACTACCGGTTCTCTGAACTATTCAAAATTTCCGCTACCGGTTCTCCAGAACTGGTCAGAACCTGCTAAAACCCACCTCTGCTACAGTCCTAGCATTGAGTCTGCACTTTTACTCCAGACAGTCCTGGCACTGAGACCCACTGGTGTAACTGAAGTTGCAGAGATCTAACATGGCAGGCAAGTCCTTTTCAGACATGCTGAACCCTTTGGGGGAAAAGGCGGTCCATGGGTGAGAAGTAAACTTCTGGTAAGAAGAACTGAGAGTGGCATCTGGGCTGCTTCCCCATTTAATTTCACTACAGATAGGCTTAGCTGAAAAACAGCAACCTAAAGCAGTGTTTTTCAAACTTGGCAATTTTAAGATGTGTGGACTTCAACTCCCAGAATCCCCCAGCCAGCGTGTAAAAGGTGAGAATTCATTAAGGTAAATTTGAAATGATTTCAAATGCTGCTTCCCAGTTTTCTTGCTACCTGGGCTGAGCTCCATGTATAAAGGTAAAGGTAAAGGTTCCCCTTGCACATATGTGCTAGTCGTTCCCGACTCTAGGGGGCGGTGCTCATCTCCGTTTCAAAGCCGAAGAGCCAGCGCTATCTGAAGACGTCTCCGTGGTCATGTGGCCGACATGACTAAATGCCAAAGGTGCACAGAACGCTGCTACCTTCCTACCAAAGGTGGTCCCTATTTTTCTACTTGCATTTTTTACATGCTTTCGAACTGCGAGGTTGGCAGAAGCTGGGACAAGGAACGGGAGCTCACCCCATTACGCAGCACTAGGGATTCAAACCGCCGATCTTTCGATCGACAAGCTCAGCATCTTAGCCACTGAGCCACCGCATCCCTCACGCTCCATGTATAAGCAGTCCTTAATTAATTCTGTCATCTCTTGACTATATTCTACTCTCCCTTCTTCCTTTACCCAAGAGAGTTTCTCCCTTGCTTGACAAGGAGCCTCACTCAATGTCTTGGCTCCGCTCGCCACTCACTGAGGAGTCCTTACACCATCTGATCGCTCTAGCTGTTTGATGGTGCCTGGATCGAGGTGATTCCTGGCTTCAGGCGTCCGGAAGCTGACATTCCACACGTTCAGCTGGAGCAGCTTCTTCAGAATCAGAGCTGAGTCCTGAGCCACGACAATCACTCTGCCAGCTGCTGGAGAAAAATCAGCTGTGTTGGTAGGATGTTGATCCCACACTTCCTGCACCATCTGCTATGTTAAATGTCAGCTGCAAATCCTGTGGCTGTGGTATGCAAAAGCAGTCTGTGTATAGCTCAGCTACTGGCCCTTTTTTCCCCGAGCAAAAGAGACAGGCTGCCCACCCACCCCACGCCTACCAAAATTAGGAAGATGATGGTGGTAACAATGGGGTCAAACGTATTTTCCAAAGCAACACAAACACAAGACACAATGGTTGCAAACTCGCCAAGGAGAGAAGCAACCTAGAACTAAGGAGAAATTTTCCAACAGTGAGAGCCATTAACCAATGGAATCGCTTGCCTTCAGAAGTGATGGGTGCTCCATCACTGAAGGCTTTCAAAAAAAGAGAGGATGGATAGCTCAACAGACTAAAAGCCTGTTATTAACATTCAGCTGTCTGCAATTATTGCATGTTCGAATCTCGCCAAGGCTCAAGGTTGACTCAGCCTTCCATCCTTTCTAAGGTAGGTAAAATGAGGACCCGGTTTGTGGGGGCAATAGACAAATATCAGATCAACCTATAACAGGCAACAATCCACAGTTCTTCCAAGAATCTTCTTAGGGTCTCCTTGAGCCCATCCGCCCACCTTAGCACTGTTATTAAGACCAGCTGCCTGCAATTACTGTAAGTTCAAATCTCACCAGGCTCAAGGTTGACTCAGCCTTCCATCCTTTCTAAGGTAGGTAAATTGAGGACCCAGACTGTGGGGGCAATAAGCTGACTTTGTATAAAATATACAAAAGTATGAAGGCTATTGCTTAACGCATTGTAAGCCGCCCTGAGTCTCCGGAGAAGGGCGGCATATAAATCTAATTTAAAAAAAAAAAAGAGAGAGAGAGAGAGGATGGACAGCTGTTTGTCTGAAATGATTTAAAGTCTCCTGCTTGAGCAGGGGGTTGGACTAGAAGACCTCCGAGGTCCCTTCCAACTCTTATTATTCTATGTTCAATGGCACATTCGGAAAGTGAAAGTGATGCTTGAGCCAGATGCGTCTGAAGCTAAAGTGATTTCGTTTGGAACATGCCCTTGGGAATCCCTCACGCCCTTGGACATTGGAAGAGCCAATAACCTTGCATGGAGGAAGGCATGTTGCCTTGGAGAAACTTCACTTGACCTGGTATTCACCAGAAGTGTGGGACTGCAACTTCCATCCTCTCTTAAGTCCCGAGCCTTGAAGAATTTTGGGTCGCATTTTCTATCAGATCCTAACGACTCTTCCTTTCTGACGCATGCACTCTGCTTTTCTTTAAACTCTAAAAGTACAAGCGAGTTGTCTGACTGGTCTTTCAGGTTATAAGGATTGCCCAGCTTTTGCGTGGGAGAGAAATGACGGCAGAGAAGAGGAAAAATTGTTTCCTTGCTACAAGGAATACAGGAGTAAGCACAGGAGGAAGGTACAGCCTTACAATTTGGCTATAGCTGCAAGAGAGTTTTGACAGATGTGAAGCTGCCATGCAACGTGTTAGTCCTTCCTAGCCAACTGCATCTTCCCCAGAGGTGGTATTCAGCCGGTTTGTACCAGTTTTGGCGAACTGGTAGCGGAAATCGCAAGTGGGCCCGCCCACCTGCCCCGGATCTATGCCGTCCTATTTAGGCACGGTTTTGAGGCTGGGTGCATGTGCGAAAGATGCGCGGGCAAGCAAAACACATGTGTGGGAGATCGGAAGGTGCGTGTGCAAAGCGAGCGTGTGCACACGTGGCGAACCGGTAGCAACAAAATGTGAAACCCACTGCTGATCTTCCTCTAGCATATGTGGTTAATTTGTCATTCAATGTGTCATGCAGAATCCCAGATTCAGTGCAAGGTAGATCTAGGAAGGACAGGAAAGTTCCTTATTGAAGAATCCAGTCCATGTGGGACCCACACAGTATGCAAAAGCTAGCAGGTGGGGCCTAAACTTAGCTTAAGTAGCATATAGCTCATGGCTTATGCTTTAAAATAGTGCCTGAACCAGTGGTGGGTTTCAAAATTTTTTACTCTCGGTTCTGTGGGTGTAGCTTGGTGGGCGTGGCCTAGTGGGTGTGGCAGGGGAAGGATACTGTAAAATCTCCATTTCCTCCCAATCAGCTGGGACTTGGGAGGCAGAGAATAGATGGGGGCGGGGCTAGTCAGAATTTTTACTACCGGTTCTCCGAACTACTCATAATTTCTGCAACCGGTTCTCCAGAACTGGTCAGAACCTGCTGAAACCCACCTCTGGCCTGAACCTCAGTGGTGAGATTCAGGTAATTTAACAATCGGTTCTCTGCCCTAATGATTTCTTCCAACAACCAGTGTGCCAAACTGCTCAGAAAGTTAACAACTGGTTCTCCTGAAGTGGTGCGAACTGGCTGAATCCCACCACTGCTGAACCTCTTCCTAACGAAAGGCCTATTGCTTAACCATGCAAACACCATCCCTGGACTGATCCAATGGGATTTTCATGCTTCCAATAAGCAAAAAATACCTCTAAGCAGCAGCCTGCTTTTGATTTGAAATTTAAAAAGGAAATTTGTTCAAAGTCTTGCTGATAAAAAAAGAAAAGTAGAAAAGTTGCAGAGTTGAAGAAAACAACCAGATGTGCTGCTATCTAAGATTTGTGTGTCTATTTCACTG